CTGTTGAGAACGTAGAACGCAAAGGTACTGGGCTGATTTTAAAAACCATGCTGTGAAGGTAGGACACGATGGCTAAAGATCTTCAGGAAGGTGAAAACCTTCTGAGAAGGTTTCTGGCAAAGTCAGGCTGGGAGGCGCTGTGTGGTGTCGGGTTTCTGTGCCTGTGCTCTGCCATTGATCGCGGTGGCAGGGGTGACTCCTGGCTCTGTGCCGGGGGCAGGAGGAAGCATTTGACTGCTCTGGCAGCGCTCATGGGTTGTGCTTTCATTGCCAACAAGGTCATTTAGCTTAAATTAAATAAATTGACCTATTGTCTTCTAGAGATACAGTCCTAACAAAAAAAAAAAGGGGGGCAGGGGGAACCTGCAAACCTTTGCAAAAAAACCCGGACAACCTGTGTTGTCCATTTTGGGCAAGGACAAGAAGTAGGTGCTGGTTGGTGATACATGGACAAAGGCATTTCATGGCTCAAGATAGAGGGTGAAGGGTGATGCCATGATTACAAATGCAAATTTCCAGCTTGGAGTAAGAAGTGAGCAAAGAAAATCTGGTGGCATACTCTTATTTTTGCTTTAAAAAACAAAACAGGTTTTGATAATGAACCTTACCAGCTGCTTGCTGTGATCGTGTTCCTGTGCTCTGTGCTAATGCTGTACTGCTTCTCTTTAAATATTTCCCAAGAACACTAGTGCAGAAATGGTTACTGATCGCTTGAGGGAACTCGGTAACTTCTGATGAGCTTGTTTTGTAACCACCTGGGGAGGCTAAAGCTTTGGGCAGTCCTTGTCAAACACTACCTTTTTATTGCATTGGCCCTGTTGGTGCAGCAGGACTGTGTTCAGCTGGCAGAAGTACATCTGGGTTGTGTTCATCTTAAATGGTAAAAACCTGCTCCTTTGGTAACTTCATCTGAAGCAAACCTCATCCTCTGAAACAAAGCTTGGTTTCTATTTCAAGTTGTAGATCTAGAACATTTTCTTAATTTCTCATTCTAGACTTGTCTGCATGGCAATAGAAAGCAAAGAGTTAATCCAGTATTAACCTGAAGCTGTGAGACCTGTGAGGAGAGGATTAGTTTGTTCTTGAGGAAACCAGAAAAGGCATTTCCGAGAACGCCAGGGTTGCTATTGCGTGAGCTGCTTCCCAGGGGTTGGGCTGAAGAGGTGAACACAGGCATCTGCCTTCCTATAGCATTCTTCTAAGACAGCAAACAGACAAAGCAGGTGTCTGAAAGGTTGTGCACTATTTTGGGGAGAAATCTGATTAATGTTGATAGGCTGTTCAGAATCTGGCTATAACCTCCTGTCAGATTATAGTTCGTGCCAAGGTCGGCTATAAACCTCCTGTCTCGGTTTCAGATGGTGTCTCATGTGAAGGGCATTTGTAGATGAGGCAACTTAGTTTTATACCTTCTTGGTCACATTTTCATGCATTTGCTAATAGTGGCCTTTTTTTTTTTTTTGAGGAGATTTGTTCAGCAGCATAATCTGAGCTCTGAAATGCACTCTTGGTGCTTTTGTTGTGAAGATTATTTTAGCTTTGTGTTATAGAAACCTGTGCTGGAAATGGTTAGTCTCCTACATGCTGAGGATCAAAAAGATCTTAGATAAAACTTCCAGGTAGAAATATTTTTTTCTCTTAAGTAATACATTCAGACAGCATCTTATTTTTATTGTTAAAGCCAGTTGAGGAAGTTAAAAATGATCTGCTCCTTTTCCCCCCTATTTTCTATGTGCATCTTTGTTGTTCACCTCTGTGGTTGCTCAGAAGCTTCCCAAATTTGGGCAGAATAGGTCTAATTTTCTGATTTTGTTTGTCTTGAATAACTGAATGTGAATTAACTGCATCATAGTCAGTTTTTACTCTCTTGTTTGGATGAAGCTGTAAGCAGCCAACTACCCTGGCAGGGGTAGATCCCAGAGCTGTGTTGGTTACAGGGTTTTTTGAGCACAGTTTAAAATGGAATTTTAGTTTCTACAGAAATTGGTGTTGCCAGATAGAAAGCTTTATCCTTCCAGTAACTTTGGGCCACTGAATAGTGAGGAAGAGTTTCTTTACAATTTCTATCCTATTAAAAACCTTAACCTTCACGTTTAAAACTAATATAAACTCTTTCTATTTGAATGGGCTGATAAAAGCTTAATGTGATTGAATCCCTTGCTTTCCCCCAGACTCCCCATTAGTTGTTCTTTATTGAGGTCACCTTCCTCACAGTGCTCTTAGTGTTGGACTTTTGCCTTCTATTCAGCAGTTCAGATAATATTTAGATATTTGTTTAGGAGCTGATGTCAGAAGTTATCTTAAAAATGCTCAGAAATTTTTTTTTCTCCATCAAAAATGTTTTTCAGGCAGGTGCTATGTCCTACTTTTTGGTTACTGAACATTGTAAGTGATGTCAAAAATTACATACTTTGTTTTGGAAACGGTTGGTGTTGTTATAACTTGTTTTCTGTTTTCTTCCAGGGGTAGCAGATGGTGTAGGTGGCTGGAGAGACTATGGGGTTGATCCTTCTCAGTTCTCAGGGACTCTCATGCGAACGTGTGAACGTTTAGTGAAAGAAGGACGGTTTGTTCCAAGTAACCCTGTTGGGATTCTCACCGCAGGTTATTGTGAGCTGCTGCAGAACAAAGTACCTTTGCTTGGTAAGAGAGAAAAAATGTATAAATTGGCTCTGAGTTGTGTGTTACCTTGATATATACTTGGTCAAGGTTGCTTAAACCTGTTGTCAGCTGCTACAACAAATTTGCATCTTCTCTTCATTAACAAAAATACGTAGAAATGTGTTGGTAGCATCCTTGTTTTCTCTTGTGTGTTTAAAAACTCTCTTGATTCATTGAACAGTGCAGAGAGTGTGTGTGTATATTACAAATAAAAGGCAAACTTGCCTTGTATGTGGAGAGTGGAGTTATTCAGCAGTGCTTGCAGAGAGTTTGCAAAATGAATTCAGCAGTAGAACATGTCTTGGCGTGTGCACTCGTTCTTTCTGTTACACATGTATAAATAACTGTTCTCTGTTGAAGACTCTTAGTGGTTGGTTGTGGCTTTTTACTTAAGCTATGCAAGTAAAAATATTTTCTGACGATAATTGGATTCAGTTCTGTTCAGTCCTTGCCTTACTGCTCCTGTGGCCTTTTATGTCCAATGAACTCTAAACCCAATTGGCTGGCTCAAGTAGTTTATATCATGCTGTCACTGGTACCATGCATTATCATTCTTTGGGATGCAACCATTACAGATTTTTTTGAACACAAACTAAAGTAGATGCTTAGCATATTCTGTGTCAGACTTGATTTGAGACAGGGCATCGAGCTGCCTTGGGATTGGTGAGCAGATAGAGAGGCAATATTTGGCCTCAACTGAGGATGTTGAAAACAGAATACTTTTCTAAAGGGCATGTGACCTTTTTTGCACCAAGAAAGTGTTACCCTGCATGATCTGCATGCTTCTCACCTGACCTTAAGCTCCTATGCCAGGAGAGCACTGTGTAGGCTATATTTAACTTGCCTGCTGAGCTTTGGAACAGATGTTCTGGCATTATATGCCTAAAGAATAGGTTCAAACCTCAGAAGTGACCTTAAGTATCACTAAAATAGCAGTGGCCGGTAATTACATTAGGATTTGGGGAGTTTAATGGTGCTTATTTGTGCAAAGCAGATGTAGCTGTAAGTGATCTGCAGAGGGGGCTGCTGGGGAGAGCCCGACAGGGCTGAGCTGAGGGAGGCAGCCCTGCTTGGCTTGACCTTTCCAGCTCTGAAAAGCAGCATATGCTGAGTCACAAGATCTGCATTCCACACATGGCCTCCTAGTTACACTCTGCTAATAGGGTTAGAATTTGAAACTAATGATCCTTAGTGTTTCTCCTTTAACCAAGAACTGTATTTTTAGAAGTAGAAATAAAACCCTGCACTTGTCACAGCAATGAGCATTTAGAGTTTATTTCAAATGAAGTGAAGGGAGAGGACTCCATTAAGGAGTCCTTTAGTCCATTAGGCAATAACTTTTCCCTGCTTTTGTGCTTTAAGTCGTGATACTTGGTTCATCAGAATTGAATCTAGCAGAACTTTAAAAATAAAACTGAAATGAGAGGAAACTGTGCCATTTATTTAAACACTACTCTAGTATTGCAGAAAAATCTTGGATGCTGTCACATATATACAACCTGAATTTTTCCTAAGATAATGTTTTGACTTATGATTCAATAAGACTGGACAAGGGCCTGTAGTGAGCAAGTTAAGTGCAAGTGTATTGCAGGGAACTCCTTGTCTTTAGGAAGAAAAACATCTGGAATAGGTGATGCCCAGAGCCAGCTGGACTTGTGCACTAGCAAGCCTGATTGTGCACTTAGCTCACTGTAAACTTGTCTGTCCAACTTGTAACTGTGCTTGGAAGCCTCTGCTGGAAGAATGTTAGAAGATGAAGGCTGTTCATGAGCTGATGATAAAGGGATCTACAGGTTAGAGACCAAAATCTTGAAGTGCTTTAGCTGTACTTCACCCTGTTCAGGAATGAAGGTTCTCTTGGTGGATGTGCTATCCTGTTTGTAGAAATGAAGTGACTGCTGTGAAGGACTTAGTCTGTGGAGGGGCATCTTTGCAATACAGTTATTTTTGTGCCTTGCAACCAAGCACAGTGGGTGGCTACTTCCCAGTGAATGAATCAAGAATTCCTCAGTGCCCTCAGGCATGGTTGGGTTGGCTGACAAGTTGATACGCTTCCCTTCTGTCTCTCCTGAATCTGGAAGAGTATTTGTCTCTGATGCATATTTTCTTTAATCTTGTGGAGTTCATATCCTGAAGTCATGACAGGATTATTATGATTTTAAACATGGAGATGGATCCACAGAGCCATGCTAGGAAGAAAAGCATTTTAATGTTCTGACAGGAGCAATGGACCAATACCAAAGAACTGCTTGCAATTTAAGTATTTGCTTGGCATGGTTTGTTTATAGCTGAGTGAAGCTGTGTGGGGAGCACCTGGCATTGTGCGGATGCTGCTGGAATTCTGTTAGCTCAATGATTTCGGAATTTCAGTATTTTATGTAAGTTCTGTAAATCCAGTCCTATAGCAGAATGTGCTGACATATGTTGGGATAGAAAACTGTAAATAAAGTGGAACAAAACAGGTATGTGTCAGCATAATGTGTTTACCAAAAATCAAAGCAGGAGAAGTAAGTTCTGTACAAAAATAATTTGTGTTGTTAAGATTTCTAGAGTTTTGCTATTTTTAGTGTATATTAGTTTTGGTGTTACTGAGTGTTGCTGTTTTTCCTGATCTGTAAGCTTTGATAAATATGTGAAAAAATGGACTGTGGATGAAATCAGCATAAGAATAAGCCATTTCTGTAAGGCTAACTCCAGTTATGTTGTGTTTGCTCCCAGGAAGCAGTACAGCTTGTATAGTAGTTCTGGACAGAACGAGTCATCGTTTACATACAGCCAACTTGGGAGATTCTGGATTTTTGGTAGTCAGAGGAGGAGAAGTAGTCCATCGATCTGATGAGCAGCAGCATTACTTCAACACTCCCTTCCAGCTGTCAATAGCTCCACCAGAAGCAGAAGGAGTTGTCTTAAGTGACAGGTAAGATGGGAGAGCATCTTAAATTTTTAATCCATACATGTGAGGAACTCTCCGAAGTTGGCATTTGTGCTGCTCCAGTGCTCTTTGTATAGTGCAGAGCAGGGTGGGGGATTTAAGTATAGATCCAACTGAAGGGTCTTACCAGTGGTGTTCATTCCCAGTCCCTGTCTGGACTCTCCTGGGACTGGTTTGGAGCGCTCTAATTTAGATATCTTGGCAGTGAGGAAGTAAGTACTTGAAGAATAGAAAAGAGGGACATGTGACTGTAACTTGTGTTTCCAAATAGCTGTGTGTCCCACAGTATTTTGTATTTGACCAAAATGAGCTAAAAAAAACGAACCTGTTTGGCAGAACACCAAGCTGGGAAATGAGAGTATTAGGAAAGGACAATCTGTTCACAGAAAGGAGTAATTTCAAAGGCACACTTGTACTTGTGTGTTCCCCTAAGAACCTTGGGCTGGTCCATCCTCTGACTTTGTGAAATCTTGCCAGTAAAATTAAAAATTGAAAAGTTTAAAAGTCACTTTTCAAAGATGTCTTGAAATACAGCTCTGAAATCAATGGTTACGTGAGAACCCTCTTCTGAATACATGAAGATGGTAAAGGAATCTTCAAAGAGTGATAATAGTACCCAGGGAATGCAGTATGCACCTTCATGTTTAAGTATCAAAGCTGATGCAGTAAGAGTTACAACTTGTCATGCCAAAATAGCTCATTTTGAAAATGTTGGATAAGTTGTTGAAACTCTTGGCCATTCTTGCATGTGGTTTTATTACTTCATCATAAGACTGCAGAGAGGTAGAACCCTGAAATTAAAACCTGAAATAATCTAACCTCTTAATTAGACTAAAATTAAATTATTGTTTCCAATTCCAGAACTCTATACCCCTTTATTTTTCTGAGCTTCTGTGTCATCCAAGGGAAGACAAAAAAAATAAATAGCAGAAGGATAATTGATAATGTCCAGGGGAAGTCAGGAAAGCAAAGTCATCTGAGTCATCATGTAATAAGGAAAGCACAAGATAAATTAGCTCCCACACTGCAGTTCTGAATCATGATTATAGCTTTCTGGGTAGTTTCTGCCCTGTTCCTGACGTTAATTAGTACTCATGCATGTTGTCTAAGTGCTTCTCCAGTGTCTCTCTTTTTATATTTGTAGTCTAAGTGAAATGTTAAGTTTGGCTACATATGGGAACAGGCAGGCAATCTAAACTATTGACCTTCCTGAAGGTACAAATCAAAGCAACTCTTCTGCTTTTCAGCATAGCCACATGGCATGGGATGCAGTTTCTGCCTTTTAAAAGCCCCTGAAGAATCTCTACAGCTGAAAGGTTTGCCATTATGCTGCTTCTGAGAATCAGATTTTGCAGCAAGAGTCACGACCAAACCAACTATTTTCTCCTCCTGCTATTCTGTAATACATTAGACATAAGTAGAACAGTTGGCTCTGGTCTCCTGGTACCAATTTCCTGGCATGTTTTGTATTCCATGGCATTAGAAAGTGGTTCAGAATCCTGAAGTGTGTTGGTCATTCCTGTTTTGAATTGTCCTGTCAAGTACAGCTCTCGTGCATATTTATGATGAGTGAGAGGGAAGCCCTGAGCTGCCTCTCCTTAATGGTTTCCATGGAGATACACTTGTGAGGCAGATTAGCTTGCAGGATTGTGCATCTGGGAATGTAAAATGCAAATCCTTTGTGGAAGAGCTGGACTGTTACCTGTTTGCAGTCCCAGTTCTGTTGGAGCTTTCATGACAGGCAGTCGTGGTGCAGAAGCTCCATGTTTAAGTGGTTATTTCTTCCTTTTGCAGCAAAGCTTCTGAGTTATGAAAGCTGATGATGTCTAGTTTGACATTGCTTGGTGCTTTAGTGGAAGCTGGAGTCCTTTTCTTTTAACATTCCTGTCATCTTCACAGCCCTGATGCTGCCGATAGCACGTCTTTTGATGTCCAACTTGGAGACATTATTTTGACTGCAACAGATGGACTGTTTGACAACATGCCTGACTACATGATCCTGCAGGAGCTAAAAAAGCTGAAGGTAGGGCTGTGCATTCTGAACCTCTCACATCTTCTGCACCCATGAGCCCTCACAGTTATTACTTTACTTTTGGTGCACCTAACTTTTGTATTTCATACAAAACACCCCCACAACTTGCTGTCATTTAGAGACCTCTCAGTCAATACCACGTGTGAGCAGCAGACATTGACCCCAAAGCCTTGTCTCTGGGAGCTGCAGCCAGAAGCAGCAGCTTGGGCATAAATTTCCTGAGGAGCAGCTGGTACTGTGTCACCAAGTAGTGATGGGAGGGAGGGGAGGTGTTCAGCAGCAGGCACTGCCCTTGGCCAGCTGCTCACACGTTGTATTTTGTCTGTACTTGCAGGTTGTAGATTATAGACATGAAAATAGAGCATTCTCTTTTGAGTTGAGCTGTGTACTTAAAAAATAATCTGAAGCTTTTCTGAAGACTTATGAAACAGTCATTGGAAAGCAGCATGTGTTGTCTGAATTATGAGTTGTAGGTGCTTAAAAATCGTTAAGGTTCTGTAAAAAAAATGTCCTGGGCAGCTTTTCCAGGTTAGTGACCACAAATGTTCTTTTGAAGTAATAGAAAATGCATTAAAATATTTTAATTGGATGAGAACATGTAGCCTAAGGCTGTTTGCTTACAGAAAGGGAAGTATACTTAGGAGGTATCAATATGTATAACCTCCCTGAGGAAACTGTTTTGATGTTATGAAATGCAAATAAGGTTAACATGTAGCATTATAGTGTGGTTTAAAAACAATTTTGCCTACTCTTACCCTGCAGCTAGGGAGCTGAGGTGGTGTCAGACAGAGAAAGGGGCTTTAAAAGACAAATGTCTGACAGGCATCTGCCTGCAGACCAGGCTGCCTCGTGTTTCCCCTCCCTGCAGTCCCCACTGCCACTCTCCTCAGTGCAATATTTGTGTCTGGAATTGAGAAGTGGGTGGCTGTGCTGGGCAATGGAGAGTGTCCTCCTACTGCAGCATGAGGTGTCTCAGAGGCTTTAGTCTGGTTGGTGAAGGTGATGGCAGCACTGCAGGTGTGTCAGTGGGCGGGTCGCTTGCCTGTGTCGTGGTTACTTAAGCTACAGGAGCTCTCTCTACCTCTCTCTGCTCTACTCCCTCATTCCTTTCACTGCACGGCCCTGTCGTGGGCCTGGGCAGACACTGGAGAGGGAATTCCCTTGTGGAAGAAAGCTGAGCTCCACCTTTTGGCCTGTTGGGGAAAGGCACCGAAAATTTCCTGTGAGGCTGAGCCAAGAGTTAATCGTGGAACTTGCCTGCTAATTCCCCAAACCGCGGGGGAGACTCTTGACAAGGCATTTTACGATAGTTACAGAGCGTGGTGGTTGTCGTGTCATGTTGGCCTGAGTAAGAAAAGTCCTGGAGTGAAGCAGCAGAGTTACTGGAACAGAAGAACAAGGCACTTACCATGCAGTCTGTAGAAAAGTTGTGTGCTCAGTAGGTTTTTCCTCATCTAACCTGTGAATTTCCCCCTCTCCCCAGCGGTGCTCTTGTCAATTTGGGTAAAAGGGTCAGAGGAGCAAGGCTTCCCACTCAGGGCAAAGCATAATGATCTCAGCAGAGCCCACCTTGTGAGGGCAGGATGGTTCTTTCCATGGGAACACTGGTACAGCTGTAATACCCTGTTTCTATACCCTGTTTCCCTATTGGGGAAAGGCACCGAAAATTTCCTGTGAGGCTGAGCCAAGAGTTAATCGTGGAACTTGCCTGCTAATTCCCCAAACCGCGGGGGAGACTCTTGACAAGGCATTTTACGATAGTTACAGAGCGTGGTGGTTGTCGTGTCATGTTGGCCTGAGTAAGAAAAGTCCTGGAGTGAAGCAGCAGAGTTACTGGAACAGAAGAACAAGGCACTTACCATGCAGTCTGTAGAAAAGTTGTGTGCTCAGTAGGTTTTTCCTCATCTAACCTGTGAATTTCCCCCTCTCCCCAGCGGTGCTCTTGTCAATTTGGGTAAAAGGGTCAGAGGAGCAAGGCTTCCCACTCAGGGCAAAGCATAATGATCTCAGCAGAGCCCACCTTGTGAGGGCAGGATGGTTCTTTCCGTGGGAACACTGGTACAGCTGTACTGTACAGCTGTAATACCCTGTTTCCGTCAGGTGAGACTGTTTACTCCATTTTGAGTGCTAGTCTTCTGAGTTTCTAAATTCGATAAATCCTCCAAAACTACGTCTTGTAGCTGCTGGTAGGGAGTAGAGCTCTGGACTTCAGTTGGGAAGCTTTGCATCTCTAACCCAAATTTATAGAGCCTGAAGGATGGTGAGGGCTCCGTTTGGAAGAGAAGGTGAGAACCTAGTGCCCTGTGAGAGAGAGGTCTGGCAGGCAGGGATCCAGAAAACTGACACACACCAACAAAACAACTCCCAGGAGGCTTCCTTGTGAAAATCAACTTTTTTCCTCCTCAATGTAGAACTCCAACTACGAGAGCATACAGCAGACTGCACGAAGCATTGCTGAGCAAGCTCACGAGCTGGCATATGATCCCACTTACATGTCGCCGTTTGCACAGTTTGCATGTGACAATGGATTGAATGTGAGAGGTAAGACGTGTTTTGGTTTTTTTTCCTCCTACTCCTGCTATCTTTGAGAAATCTTGAGCAAACTGAAGTTCTGTTGTTCCAAAATCTGATGGGAAAACAGAGCTCTCAGAAATGTAGCTGCCTGGTTTGGCAGGGACCCCAGCTCCTGAGGCAGGTCATCCCAGGCCCTGGCTGACCAGCAGCCTCCTGTGGGGAAGCAGCTGGAATGCAGGGAACTCAGAGCACTGATTTTATTTTCTTTTAATTTTTTTTCTTAACCTACTGTGTACACTCCTGCCCCAGGAATCCTGCCTGACGCAAGTTCTCCAGGCTCTTAGGGAAACTGTACTTGACTTGTTCCTTGGAGTTGGGTGTGTGGGTGATAAGGGTGTGTGTGTTGTTTTTTCTGGGTTTTGTTCTGGTTTGTATGGTTTTTCTTAAGGTTTTCTGTTATTGCTGCTTTTTAGTTGGGATTCAGCCCACCCTTTGGTGGTGGGTGTGTGTTTTCTTGTTCAAATTTCTGACTCTTGTACCATCAGCATCTCCCTGCCCTGATCTCTCTTGGTTTTATTTCCTTCACTCCAAAAAGGTACTGACACCTGGCGGAGTTCAGAGTCCTAGCAAACACCTTTTTCTCTTTTAAATAAGTCAATTCTCCTCCTAGATCTCTGTATCAGGAGGGTGGGATTTCTTGCAAGACTCTTAAGTATCTTTCCTAAGGCTGGAGGCAAATAGTTGTTCAGTCTGGGCTCTGTGTTGCTACAAGCTCCATCACTCAGTGGTGGAACTGCACTGGCTTTCTGAGTCACAAAATGCCTCTTCACTGAGCTGTTTTTCTAGGATTGGGGTGTATTGCTCTTGCTGTTGAGGTTTGGGAAGTGATTACTAAAAATATTAAGTAGCTTTAGGAAGGACAGGCAGCAAGGCAGTGCTGGAGAGGATGCTGGGGAGGTGTTTGATGGACAGCAGAAATTCCTGTGAAGATCCCGGTGGTTTTATTGCCACTTGCTTGTAACAAAGCAGTGTCAGGCTTTTTGTACTTCTATTAAATAGTGTGCAAGAAACCAGGCTTTCTGCTCAGCGAGTTCTGCCCTCCTCGTGGTGATCTCCCTGTAGCTGAGGAGGAGAGTTTTTTTGCTGTGTTAAATGCCTGTTGATCTCAGCCGTGTTTGGACAGGAGGCGAGGGAAGCAGAATTCCTGCGCCTACACACGAACTAGTTTTTGAATAGTTAAACTATTTTTGTAGAGCTTCCCTTGGGGGAATGTCACGGATTGTAAGATGACCCATTGTGGTTTATTAAATAGTTTTGTTTTCTGGTGTGACAGGGGGAAAACCAGACGACATCACCGTCCTTCTGTCCATTGTAGCCGAGTACACAGACTGATGTGTCCCCGTGTCGGCTCCTGATGTTCCCGTTCGCCCTGAGCTCCCAGCGTCACCTGGATGGTTTCCTGCTGGCAGGATTGCTTCATTTCTTCCCAGCTGATCCCAGTGGCTCTCGAGCTCGTTGCCAGTCTTCAGACACAACCGGGGTCCTTGCTAAGAACCACTCTCCTCATACACTGGTCTTTGTCTGCCAGCAAGAAATAGAGAAGCTCAAGGCTTAAAGCATGTCTTTCAGAGCTTGCTCATTGTCCTTTTAAAGGGGGAGGATCAATCCTGCGTCGTTCCTGTGTTGAGATGTGACTTTCAAAGGAGTAGAATTGGTTTCTCACCTTTCAAACTAGATCCAATAGCTAGAACCTCTGCTTGAGGCCATGTTACTCTATTTGCTAGGAGCGTTCACTGTTCATTAAAGGGTGTGTTATCGAGCAGCGTTTCATGAGCATAGTCTTGTTCCAGTGGTAGCTGAGGTTTCGTGTTTCCAAGCTCCAGTTTTCAGGAGGTTTATAACTGCTGTAAACATTCTGCTCTTGCCGTACCTGGTGTCAGCCTAGGAGCCTTTTCTAGTATGAAACTTCAAAAAACCCCATACTTAGTTCAAGTTAATATGGATGCAGATGTGCTTTGTGATTTCAGGTGCTTAACTGTGATCTTAAAAAGTTCTGCAGATCATTCGTCCATAACGGGCCTGGTATCTGGAGGTTTGGGCTGTGGATAACTACTTTTTTTTCTTTTATCTTTTTTTTTTTTTTTCTTTTTTTTGTAAAAACTAAGATTTTAACTCAGCCTCAAAAACCCAAGCTGGCCAAAGCTGAGGTCCTATCAGCATTTTAGCCCATCCCACCAGCGCTGGGTGATGTGGCACAAATGTTGCAGTGGGAGGTTGCACAAAGAACAGACCAACCTCCACTCTGAGAGTCTTCACCTGGGTAGATGATCCTGCTGTGAACACCACCCAGTTTGTGTTACTAATATGCTGCACCAGTTTAAGTCATGTTGATCCTTATCTTTCTGACTCTCCAACAAGCACCTCTTTATTTATGCTGTGGCAGCAGCACTAAGTACCTAAACAAACTATTAATGAATAATCAGCAACACTTTACATTTCAGTAACTAAAGTTTAGGGTTTTTGGAATGAACCTTAATGATGTTTACAGTTATCTAACAGCCACTTTGCAATATTACATTTCCTTTTGAATTACAGTAGCTCACATTTGTTTCCCCCTCTTCCAGCAAGCTTTCCTTTTTCTTTCCTGAGGTTCATACAAAAAGCTGATAGCTGTAAAGATATATATATTTTTGGTCAGTTTTTCATTAACTTTTTTGCTGGTAGAAAAGTATGTAGAAATAAATTAAAGCCATGTTTTATATATATATATATATATAAAAGTCGGGTAATGTTGCTGTTTAGGTGAGTGCAGTTAAACTTGGTCAGTAAGTAATCTTACCTGCTCTCAAAAGGAGATTTTTACTACCTGGTTTATTGTATTAAAACTGTTTAAGTTTGAGGTTACCTCAACTTGTTTAAAGAATTTCTGTGGACTTGTACTGTATATTTGCGTAACTATGTCAAGCTTTTATTTAAGATCATTTAACATGTACCATGTACATGTCATTTTACTATATTTCAATGCATCATGCTTGTAACAGGCATTTCATTTATAATAAGTGATTAATTTGGAAGCTCTTCGGTAATTTATCTGCTATTCCTAAATTGGCATCATGTTAGCTCTTTTAAATCACCTTGTAATTACTTGTCAAAATGCCTTAACTACCCTAACTTGACCAAAATGCTATTTTGGTGAGGGTACGGGGAGGATTATGTGAATGAAGACAAATTACTGAGTTTTGCCATCCACGGAGCAGTGAGTGGTGGAGAACTTTGCACAAAGTGTCGGTCCGTGTTGTTTTTTTTCCGGTGGAACAAGCGGTGTCACCTCGCTGCCTGGGTGCAAGGAATGTATTCCCGCTGCAGCACAGGGTTTTTGTGGCTCGCATTCGGGAAGCGTTTCCCTCTCACATCTGGGGGGTCTTTTTTACCTTCAACTCTCCAGTATTTCTTCTCGCGCTTCTTGATTAGAGCAGATTTGATCAATTCTTCTTTCCCTTGAGCTTTTCCTCATACTTTAAGGCGCTGCTCCTGCCGGCTTTGACCCTCGGCTCTCAGCTCGCTCCTCCCCACCCCTCATTATTCCCGACCCGGTTCGGGAAGAGGTGGAGCCGCTTTCCCAGCCTGGCCCCGCATCCCGAAGAGCAGCCGGTGCCGCCGCTCGGCTCTGGGAGACCCGAGCAGTGGGACTGGCTGCCCCGGAGCATCACACCGTGGTTCTTTTATTTTCTCTTTTTAACAAAGAACAAATTGGGATTTATTATTTTTCATATTTTTTTGGTTTCATTTGCAAATCATGAGTTGAATCCCTCACCGGACACACCAAAGACCAGTAAAGCTTATTTAGCTTTTCCATCTGTTGATAAAGCAATACTGTATGATAAAGAATTGATATTTTTATCACATGCTTGATTGTTTTGGGGTTTGTTTGTTTGTTGTGTTTTGTTGTGTTTTTTTTTAAGATGTGCACTCTATCAACATATCAAACCTGATTTCTTCCTATGAACTTAAGCTGTCTGCGCACAACAGATTGTTTTGGGAAAGGAAATGACAGGGCCCATCCAATCCAAATAATGTTAAACGATGCATGAAGCAGTAACACTTCCTAGGAATTAGATTATTGTGACTGACTGTTCACGAGAGGAAGGTCCAAGAAAGGTGTTCTGTGAAATGGAAGAATGGGTGAGCTGCTCCTGGGCTGCTCCAGAGGGGTGTTCCCAGGAGCTGGTGGTTCAGGAGCAGCAGTGGGAAGGAAAAGGAAGAGTTTTCCAAACCAGTAACCCCAGGAGGTGACAAGGCTGGCAGGAGCTGCTGTTTCTGCTCCAGTGTTCCAGGGCTAAGAGGTGGTGAAGTGGAAAAACTGTGGTTCCTTGCTACTTTTATGGCTATCTTTGGGAGACCTGCAACATACAGTTTCCCTCTAAATCTATTTTCTTCGTGTTGATGAAGAAGGTGTGGCGGAAAACAAAACAAAACTAACAGATTTTGGGACCAGGCAGTTAATGATCGAGTAAAGGAGAAGGGAAAGGCAAAGGGCTGGCAAGGATGCGAGGATCTTGTAGTGGAATCTCCATCTCTTGGTAACAGACATCCTTTCTCCAGGGAAAAACATGGTGTGTGTAGAAATGGACTGTATGAAGTAGTTTCTTACAAAGATAGCTGAAATAATGAAGCAAATCTTGAGTCTGTATCTAATGAGGATGCTTTTTTGTTGTTGTTAAAATGAGACTATCATCTATGCTTACCTAAGAGGCAATTATGTGCATTTCATGTCTGAGGTATAACTTATGCAGGAATAGTTCTGTAAATACATTTAAATGAATTGTAAAGATATTTAATAAATATAGTATTTATACTAAAATGTGTTTTTTAAAGTAAAGTTGACTGCAGCAGCTCTGTTTGTTAAGGCAGTGATGTCCCTGGTGGCACAGGGAGGTGCAGCCACTGGGGCTGGGGGGGCTGGGTTCCCCCTTGGACCTTGGCAGGGTTCTCAAACCATCTGTGAGCCAAGAGGGGAGGGGAGAGCAGAACACAAGTCTGACACAGACACTGCTGGAACTCATCACTTTTATTTTTTTAACTGCATTTCTCTTCCAACTCTGGCTGTTCAGTGAAAGGCCAGCTCTGTACCAGCTCCTCTCCAGCTCCCACGTGTGGCTGTGCCAGAGGGGATGGTTTCTTTTTCCAGCACTTGTAACTTTACAACAGGAGTTTAATTTGCCTGAAGTGGTGGCACAGTTTGAGTGAGAAGGTGCTGGGGAGCTGAACACCCACAGCAGTGGGCAAGGCACAAATTCAGGCTAGTCGATAAATGTGTGTTGTGTCACAACAGTAGCCAATGGTTATGGAATGACCCTTGCTGGGGTGAACAGGAACAGCAAATCAACACTTAACCTGTGCTGGCAGAGCAGGACCTGACACAGCACTTGGTGCTGAGTCGAGTTCTGCCCTTTTCTTACATGTCTTGCAAGAAAAGGGCACTATTTGGGTGGGATTCCTGCTTCCCAGGCATTAGTGAAGTGCAGGTCACCACACAAGCTCAGGACACAGTCTCCATTGAGTTCTGACTTGAAGAACTGCAATTAAATCTAAAACCAGGAACAGCTCAGCCATTGCCACGCCAGCCAGAGATTTCAAGGCAATTTTACTTGGAATCAGATGCTTCGTGTCACTAGAAAACCTGGGAGCTCTGCAAGTTGCCAAAATCCTCCTCGGTGTCACTAGCTGTTGCTAAACTATGGAAGGTGTGACTCATGGCATCCTTCTCCTCACAAGAAACTGCTCCAAAAAATAAGGAATGAAACTGGAAAAGGCAATGGTTACAGAAGTAAGAAACGGCAATGCAGAGTCGTGGGCTTCATTCTTTCTGAAGCTTTTGCCAGTTTAAAACCTTTACCAGCCTGCAGTGTTCCCTGCTGGAGCTCACCTGCCACCCCTGAGGTTCCCAGCCCCACAGCTGAAGGTGGCTGTGGTGGTTTGTCAGCTGTGCTGCTGTGGAAGCTGTTGCCATTGAAATTCTACATGCAGCCCCCAGGCTAAAGGGAGCCTTGGGCTCTGCACCAGCAGAGGGATTCCACTGGAAGTACAACCAGGAGCCTCCTTACCTTCTGATAGTGAGATAGTTCCTCTCCATCCAGCAGGGCATGGTCTTCAGCCATGGCTGTTCCTTCCATGCCTGTCACATCTCTCTTTGTCTCTCTGGCAATATTTTTAATCTCTTCATTTACCAAAGAACTTGCAGGTTTCACTGACCCTGTGTCTGGGGCACTTCTGTTCCACTGGGGCTTTTTGGAAGCAACTGCTGCTGTGCTGCTGTTTCTGTCCATGGAGGTTGTTTCAGATGTACCTGTACGTGCCTTGTAGCTGGATGGAGAGAGCAGGTCAGGTCAGTAAGTGACTTTATGTGGTGTTCTTAGAATGTCTTTCTTTTCTGCTGATGACAAGCACTATGGCTTTAGATTCTCAACGACCTTCCATCCCTTCCTACTGCAACAGAACCCCGTGGAGATACAGGGCAGCAGAAGCCAGTAGGGAATGCTCTCTGCTGCACCAGGTTTATTGCTGTGGATGCTCCTGAACCTGCCTAGTTCAGTTTCCTATGAACAAAGACTCCAGGATCCATACAAGCTTTACCAACACCCTGCAGGTCACTCCCTTTCCATCTTAAATCTGACTTGGCTGGAAAATGTTAAGCTTCTATTTTTTTTATCCTCTTAGAACAGCCTGCGTCCCTCCCCCCTGCAGCCCAGTGTTACCTTTCCTGTGGCTGGGAGAAGCTGGGAGGCTGCTGGGAAGCTGTGGTCTTTTCAACCTCAGACAAGGTAGCCAGGATAAAGCTGGCTTCCAGCACCATGTCCTCCACGCTGAAGGCAATGGGTCTGAACACAAACATTCAGAGACCAAACCAGAGTGCAGGGTCACACACATTGTAGGAGGAAACACCTCATGCAGTTCTACAGGCAGATTACAAAATGCCTCTCTGATAACCTGAAACTCTCTGGGCTGCTGAAGAACATGAGGTGGCTTCACGATACAGATTTAAATGCACCAAGGAACAAATGCTACACAATATTATATTAGACAAGTCATAGTTTTAAATAGGTAACTCTTAAAATTTAATCAGAACTTGTATTGTTTCCTCAGGCTACTAAATTAAGTCACTGTGTGCATTAGACTGAGAGCCTGAAGTGTCCAGGTGGCCTGTAGGTGCTCATCAGTCAGCAGGGCTGGCTCAGGAGTGCTTGTGCATGTTTAGATGCTTTATGTGTAACGACTTAACCCTGTCCTGCAGCTCAGAAATACAGCTTTTGGGATGGAGTGAACATCTGTTTTACTGTCTGAGTTAAATGTCCATTGAGTAACCTGCAGCCAAAACCAGCTGTAGAGTTGTAACTGCAGTAGTTCAGTCAGGCATGTTCCAAAACATACCTTCCAGACACGTCAAAATGGATTGAGACAGGAAGACTGGTCACTTCTGAAAATGCCAGCAGTCCCTGAAGATAAGAAGTGGGTGGTTAATCACTGTTTGAAAACTAGAAGATTAATATTAGAATGTAAGTTTCTCCCAGCTGTTGTTTCCTAGCAAAAAGAGGGTAACAGTCTCCTGCTTCTAGAATGCATTTCTTGCCCTCCCTGCCTGGAGCTTTGCCAGAAAAGCTTCTGCAGGTGGCACTTCTGTGGCCACCAAGCTTTTTCCTGTGCAGTTACAGTGTGTTTACCCAGCACTGAAACTGTGTTTGTGTTGTTCTCAAAATGTTTCACTTGTCTTTCAAGTGTGTGGCCTGTGCAGTGTCCTGAAGATCCTGCTTTTTAAAGCTAATCCCTAATCAGCTGGTGAAATAACTGCTGCCAGTCAGGAGGCCTGGTGGAACATGTCCCAGGGCCACCCTCTGTTGTCCTGTTCAAATGAGGCAAAATAACAGGAAATGTTTTATTTTACTTTACCCTCAATTCTTTAAGGCAAAATGTCACTTCAGAATCTACTCCAACTTGAAAGTAGTCAAATTCATCTGGGTTTAATTGTATTTCAGTAAGCATTGTCTTTGAAAAATCTGCAATAACAAGAAAGGGACTCAAAGGAGAGAAGCTGAACTTCACAAAACAATGGCTGTAACCATGAGGTTTTTGTATCAGCATCATTTCAACAAATAATTGTATTTTATAGTGACCCACACTAACATGTTTATCCACACCTACTTCATAATTAAGTCAAATCCTCAATTTATTTACAGTATATTATGTAGAATTAAATGGCTTTTAACAGAACCTATTTTATGTTCCACTCTGTGATCTACCCTGATACCTGCTGCTGTTCTTGCAAACCTGCTTTGTCAACAGGGATTCCTCACAAACAGCATTACCAGCTGCTTGGTGCTGCACAGACTGGAAGACCAAAATGCCTCGTGGCTTCCACAGATTAATCATTCCTG